GTAGGTCTACAGACAATGGCACAGTCAGTCTACAGACTGTAGTACAGTAAGTCTATAGATAGTGGTGGAGTAGGTCTATAGACTGCTACATTACATGTAGGTCTGTAGACTGTAGTGCAGTAGATCCACTGACTGTGGTGCAGTAGGGATCTTCATTTCCTTCCCCTTTTTACAGAAAGCAGAACCAAGCAGCTGTTAAAGAATGAGATTTTAAATGTCCATTCTTAAAAAAGATTTTTACAGGCTTATTCTAGATTTAGGATGGGAAGTTTGAATTCCCCAGTTGAACGTAGATGTGATAGATGCTTCTTGTATATATAGGGCACTATGATGCCCCCTCCCCCGCCTGCCTGAGCTTTTTCATTCTGAAAAACTGAGCTAGTCCAAATTCCCCAAATAAAGTTCTTGTTTTTATCCCTGGGAAAAGGGACTATTGGCACACGGTGAGAATGAGTCACACTTTGATTTAAACCCTGTATGAATTTTTTTAGGATTAGAATCTGTAATATTTTTCATACTCTAGAGAAAATAAGAAGTGGTGTTAATTTGAGTCAAAAGACCCTTGATGAAAAGCCCATCTACCCTGAGCAGCCAGAAAAGTGCAAGCGTATTAAGGCCATGTCAGGTTGCATTTTTGATGAAGCCGTGACTAATTTTGGTTTCACAGCGAGGCCGGCCTCGTCATCTGCCAGTAATCTTTTGCAGAAGGAGAACAGGCGCTGTGGTTTTTCTTGGTGCAACGTGTTGATGATTAGGTGGGCCAAGTTGTGAAAAGGTCATATTCTCCTGAAATTACCAGGCTTATTTTTCAAATAATGAACAAAATGGGACAACACCTTGTGTGAGTAAAATTTGTTGGATAAAAACTCGACAAATAGACTGAGAGCAGAGTGGAAAGCATTTTGGTCTGCTCGGACCAGACAAGCTGACCACGGCAAGCTTGGTGGTTGAATGTTGAACATTGCAATGATAAACCCCTCTACCAGTATTCCAGTGGGAACGGTCCAATGGAATAGGAACGTTCCCAATTTTTGAGATGCTTCCTTATTTCTGTTCATGATTGAAGAGTTTGGTAAGGCCAATGGCTTTGAGTTATTTTCATTGTGGGTCAGAGAACTGGACTGAGTTATCGTTGGGATATGCAGACGTATCAAGAAGTCAGTGCTCATTTGCCAAGTGTGAACTGGGGGATATTTCTTAGGAGCTGGGGAAGGAATTCCTGACTTTAGATGGCACTTGTTGATAACACTTACTGCAGGTGCAGGGTTTTGAGTAGATTGGGCTATTTATATGCTGTGACAGTTCTCAGGAGAAAGGAGCAGAGAATAAGAAAAAAAATTACTGTGGACAGCTCAGCTTGAATGCTAAATGCTGCAGTAACACTGAACCGCAGCATGGCTTAACACTGATCAACCATGGAAAATCGTCCTGTGACTGCAAATACCGGTAGCTTGATGGATGGTTGCATTTGAATAATCAGGCCATTACTGGCACTAGAGCACATGCCCAGGGAAGCTGCCAGATAGTGTCTTAATCTATTTCCCATAGACACTTATGTTTTTGCCAGCCGTAGCCTAATAATTAGAAAGAAGAAGATTTTTATAATCCCATTTAACTTTGTGAAGATGTCAACATTTCCTGTTAGAAAAGAATTAAAACTTCACGCCAAACTCGAGGGCACTTCTTGTATTTCAGACATGCAGTTTTTCCTTGGAACTGTTGATTTCCTGCTTCCTTTATGTACGTTCATGACATTACAAATCGGAAAAAACTGCCAACTTCCAAGACAGGTTGGAATTTCCTTTTGAGGGGGGCCTTCCAGCAAAATTTCTGGTATTTACAGTTAGGGTTGTAATCAAAAATGTTCTAAACTAAACTATCCAATTCTAACATTAACTGAAGGCTTTCCAACCGCAGTCCTCTGAGCGTAGACTACCGTCACATGAGCCCCTGGCACCCAGGCCGGCCCAGGCGGACCTCCTCCTCAGAGACCAGCCTGCGGGGTACCAGGGCAGCCACCGAACTCGTACTAGACAACGGCAAGCGACGCCGGGTCCATCGATGCACGTTCCAAGGCTGTAACAAAGTTTATACCAAGAGCTCCCACCTCAAAGCCCACATGAGGACTCACACAGGTGAATATGGCATGGTTTCCCTCCCAACTTCCTCCGTCTCCTTGAGTTCTGCCTGATTTTCTTAAAGGTCAGAGACAAAGGCAGAGACTAAGGAGAAAAAAAGCTGAGCTTCAGGAGACTCCCGTAGCTTGGATTAGACTGAAATGGTTGACAAAGCAATATCTGGGAAAAAGGCCCCTTCTCCTCTTGTGGAAATGGATACTCACTGGGTACACATGGCCTGTTATTACGTCTGTCAGGCTGGATGACTGGCAAATTACCTTATTGACAACCAGGAAAGTGTCAGCACCGTAATTGCACACTTCTGGTCCCCAGACTGCATGCAAGTTCAAGGCTTAGCCCCCTTAATTGAGTCTGACCTACATCCCTGAGTGATGCACTAATGTGTTGCTTCTCCAAGAAAGAAAATTCCATACTAAGATTCTTTGATGTGAGACAGGAAAACGAACATCCAGGGATAACAGGTTGGGATTGTAATTAGTTGGGTGCTGTTACACCTTGTAACCTGTACCTTTGACTGTAAGCTGAAAAGGAAACTTTTTAACAGATCATCAGTGGCTTGATAAAAGGGGTCCATGACTAGATCACATGCAAATTAGTGATTTGTGTAAGGCTTTTAGTTGATGATTAAAACTGTCCAAATTTTATGATAGGCAGGCTGCCAAAAAGCACTTACATTTGTGTATTGTATCCAGGGTGATTACACTCTAGAAGCAGATTAACATGGCAAGTCATTTTGGTGAGGGTGCTTGGGATTTGATATTATTCCATTTCATGAAGGACAAAGCCCATGCTGGAAAGACACCATTTGGAGAGCTGATCTACAAGTTTAACCAGCTAAATCCTAGCATCTTGGATTTTGGTATATTTAAACAGTACTTTCAAGTAACTCTTAAAAGACATGTTAGTTCCTAATAAACTGTTTATACTTCACCCAGTCACAGGAATATGGCCTTGGGATAAAAAAAGAAACTACTGGTATGACCGATTTTTTTTCCCAAACAAGAATTACACTTTGAGCTTTAGTGCATTGTCTTGAAGTACTCCTATTTTTTTGCAACAGTCCCCATCATGCAAAACCTCCAGAAAGCAAACATAGGCTCTAGGATCATCTCTTCCCACCCCCTCCTCCTCTCCTTACCCAGAGGAGAGGATTCCCAGAGGCCATCGGTACCATGAAAGGGCAGATTTGGCTGACACCTCGCCTCATGTGGGGAGCATTTGTGAGCCGGAAGTAGCTTAACACCTCTGGTCTCAGTGGCCCAATGCCCATCCGTCACTTGCTGATTGCTAGTCCAAACTAGGGGTCCCTAGGCACAGCAACCCAGCCCTCCCCCTTCCAGCTACATATACCATCCTGTCCCGTTTGTTGAACATCGAGTACATGTGGGAGGGGGGCACTGTTGAAGGAATTTCCATTCCTCTGTTTAGAAAAGCAAAGTGAAGAGTTTTGAACTCGCCATATAAATTTCTATTGCTGGCTTCAAGGAGTGACCTTTAATATCTACTCCCATGACACATTTTCAAGGAACCTTCCATATCCTTCAAAGTGCATGAAACCAGCATGAAGTCCAATGCGAAGTGATTGTTTGTGGTTTCTACCTTCCTTAGTCCTGCTGATCCGTCGCCAGCTTCAGGCCTTAAGGGGGGGTCACAGTATCAGCTTGGGGGGGCCCACATCACAAAAACAAAATATCTTTTTTATGCTTAATTGCTTATGCTTTTTACTGATGGGGGGGGCCATGCTGATCCTTCAAAAATGCTCCAGGAAAAATTTGAAAGTCTAACCATTAGTGCATTTAAACAACTTTGAACTTTTTTTGGGGGGGGTGGGTAGCAGTTTGGATATCTGACTTATTTTTCATACGTCTTGTTTGCCCAGCTTGCCAAATTCTGTATTTAAGCATTCTAATCATGTGAAGTGTAATGTATAGGCCTCGTTTGATTAAATGTGTGAGTCTTAATTTATGATTTTTAGTTTGCATTGGAAAGAGCAAACTTTCCGTTTCTCCGAATCACCCAGTTTGGCGTGATGATGAAAATGGGCATTGTATGGGTATTAACATTTTTAGGGATCCTATCAGTGCACATATTGTACAAGATGTTTAGTGGTCGTGTCAACTTAAGACTCATTTTGCTAGGTGTGACCATGTTGTTGCCAACGGCCACATGAACATTTGGACAATATTGCGGCTTTACGTGAATTCCTTCGGTATTATACTATTTCATACTGAATGGGTTCATCTTTCCTTGTTTCTCTCAACCCTCCCCCTTTCCAGGAGAGAAGCCCTACAAGTGCACATGGGAAGGATGTGGGTGGAGTTTTGCCCGGTCAGACGAGCTCACAAGGCATTACCGCAAGCACACAGGAGACAAACCCTTCAAGTGCCCTCAGTGTGAGCGAGCATTCTCTCGCTCAGACCATCTCTCCTTGCATATGAAAAGGCATTGAGGAGGAACTCTTTTGGGGATCAGTTGACACCCTTCTAGCTCTTTTCTTTGTGACCGAGGGATGCTTGATGTACGTGTACATACTGAGGGTCAGTGCACAGGAGATGGCTGAAATTGTGGAGAATGACAGTGGTCTCTCTCGAGCCATCTTTCTCGAGCAACTCATCCTGAGTTTTCTGCTGTGTACTCTGTAGACATGCCTTATTTAGTTTCCAAGCAAGAGGAGTCTTCAGAGCTGCTCGCCTGTCAGTTTCAATGTCGAATCACTGTGGAAGGCTTTACAAGTCCATATAGTGTAACATTGCAGACACCAGATGGTAGTGTACAACTGGAACTCTGTTTACTTTGCCATTGGAATGAGAATAAAAATCCCTGCTGTTAAATATTTTTGTCAGTAACGCAGGAGGAATATCTTACCGACTCTCAACTTTGACTTGAGTAAAAATGATTACATATCGAACTAGCCCCAAGGTTCTCTCTGACTGTTTTTTTTTGGGGGGGGGGCAGGGGGAGTTCTGTCTGACTGATGTTTTCGGTGGGCAGGGAGAGTTCGGCTCTTACATCTGCTGTTTTGAGTATTATGCCTACTGCCGTGCCCCGTTTGATAGAGTTTTGCAAGTGTAACATTACATTGGTATAGATCATAATTGACAGTTTGTGTGGATCACTATCTTGTGGAATTTCTGCTGTTGAGTTGTCTTATTGATTCATTTTGGCCGTGGTCGCATACTGTGAAGTTTAGTCAGAGAACGTGTACATCATCATAGTAGCTGTTTTATGTTAGTCTAACACGCTTTTCGGTGATAATAAGCATGAGAAAAATGTGGCAATTCAACGTTGCAACTCACAAGTTTAGTGTCCGTATGAATTTCTTGATTCAACTTTCCCTCTAATGTTCCTTATCCAGTTATTGGTTTAGAGGGTTTGGAAGTTGATGCACTGCACACTATTTGAAAATAGAATCTCTAAAAAAAAATGTTGTCATCGTGACCTCATGTATTCCCCCGAAGAAATTCTGGCCCACCCCAATTCCTGTCCCAACTGACCATTATCATTGGTCAGTTAAGCTGTGAGTTTTTAAAGAAACCTATCCATTGAGTAAGCATTGACCTGTAGCTGAGCCATTGTATTAGGTTTCTCTCTTCCCATTGACTGGGGTGCCTTACTGGGAGACACAGCGGGCTTGTCTTGGAAGTCACCATCCAACCATGTACAGATGTCGACACAATTTCATTTTGTATATATATCTTTTGTAAATACTCGGTGAAAACCTTCAAAAAAAACTTAATTGTACCAATAATGAAAATTGTAAAAGTGATTGATTATTAATAGTTACAAAGTGCAAAATGGTGTCTGTTTATGTGCCGTATATTAAGCAAAAGCCACAGAGAGTGGCTTGCCTGTTGCTTCAAACAATGCATATTTTTTGGTATCCTTTTTGCTTACCAATTCTGCTGATCGTCATGCGTATCCACCGTATGAAGCAACATATGGCTCAGGTATCATTGTCATTGCTGTCAGTAATCTAAGCCTTACGATAAGGCTTAAAAGATTTTGATCATTTTTCATGCTCATTCTGGGGCAAAATAATTTGGGGGGGATTTAAATACTCCAGAGAGAAATGTTCAAAATTACGCTTCAACTCGATTTTAAACAAATAGGACGACGGTAGGAACAGTGGATTGGGTTGAAAGCTTGAAAATGAAGGGAGAAAAAACAAATCGCACAAAGTCAGAGTGAGTGAGATTGAGAAAATGAAGGCCAATGGTGGCGAGTATGGTAGTGGGGTAGTTTGGGGGTTGCTTGTGGAGGGAAGTGATGAAAACTGAGGTTTGAATGGATGAGAGGCAAACTTACAAATGGAAAGTCTATAATTTCAAACACTTTTTGAGGGTGACTGTGCTGCCCATGCAAACCACCGTGTTAACTTAGACTGCATTGAGAAGTTTTATACTTAAAACTAGTTTAAACCATAAACTAGTTACTGGTTAACCACTAGACTGTAACTAGTTTAAAGCAGCCAGCATATCACTGCCAAGGTTAATTGTGAAGGGGAAGGACGGAAGTTATTTGGAAGGATTGTTCCGAGAAATGGAATTAAAATAAATATACCTCATACTAGCACATTTCTTTGTGGTAATTTTGTTGTAAAAAGAAGTGACATTTAAACAGTCATTGGCAGAATATTTGCTGAATATGTAAGTCATCTGCTCTTGTCACAATTAGATAGATGTACATGTATTAACACATTAATATTGGTGAACAATTAACTAGTTGTTGCTGGCTTTAGCTTCTGCAAGGTCTTGTTGTGCGAACATGTTATTTTTAAGTATTGTTCTAACTTTTCTGAGCTAGTGCAAGAATATCACGTCACACATTTACCAGGGCCCTTGTTTGATAAGTGCATGTTTTTGGACAGAACTTGAAGCTGTGAGGCATCACATACTGTCTGCACAGTACTGTTAAATTTTGAGCTACATTTGGGTTGGGAAGTTACAGCTCAGTTGGGATATTTATCTGATTTATACAAGTATTTCACAAATGAATGCGCTGGTCATATTTCCGCAACTCTACCTAGAAAATTGGTGTAATACTTACTTTGCAGTGATACTTTATGTTCATGTGATATTGTTGCGCTGACTCCCAAGGTGTGTGGAGGGAACACTTTATCCAGAGTCCTTAACTGTAGCATCTATATTTATGGTTTAATAGTTAGAAGTATTATGTACATGCTAGGTTTGGTTGTGTGTTTTGTTCACATAGAAATGTGTTTGGCCATAATGCAGTATCGTTTGCAGTTGTCTAGTACAAGGCCTCTCTAGCCTGGTGAACTAGACTTTAAATGTCACTGAAGAGAAAAACACAGAATCCAACTTTTTTTACCGCTGCAGTACTGGCACTGAATGTACTTTTTGATGGGAAAGCTTCATATATTTTACAGGAGAATATTGTGTTTAAGAGGAGTCCAAATGAATGACTGTCGTCCAGTCTTGTTCTTTTGGTATGTCTGTTGATCAGGAAAGTCCTTGGGTTACACCTGTCAGCCAATTTAGGAATGAACTTGTCATATTTACACCATCACAGCTGCTCCCAGGCAGTGCTTGGAAGTATGTGTGACTGTTTTTAACATGTCAAAATAGATGTTTCCTTTTAAATCTATTTAATCTGGCACCTGCCGTAACTTTCGAGTAAGGAGGAAACATATTAGATGTGTAAAACTGACAAACGTTATCCAGGACCTGGTATAAGAATTGTATGATTCAAAAATCTGAGTTCAACAGTGGTGGGGTTCACACAACAGAGTTGCTAACCCTGTTAAAATGTGAGTACAAGGAGTTCTGGGCTCACAGCACCGAGCTTGAATCTCTTCCTGATTTGTGAAACGTGCTCTCATTCACTGAGAGGTACACAAATCCCTGCTCGAATGGTGCCCATGATCCGGCAACAACGTACACTGTACTTGAAGCTTTGCCTATGTGCATATGAAATCTGACAACAATCATCTCATCTTGCACATATGCACAGATTAATTGGCAGATTATAATTATTCCCAGTTTTGACAGTAACAGTAACCCTTTACATGTAACAACTTTGATGGCCTCCAAGTGTGTAGAATAGAAGCATTTGTTTCAAATGTCTGTGGCTTTGTGGAGCATATATATGTCATATATATAACAAAAATTGATAATTTTTTTAACTTCCCTTGATGGGGTTGAAAAATTGTTATAAATACAAAAGCTATTTTGTATTGTGTGGGTAATATTTTATTATAATGGAATTGTGTGTTGTATTAATTTTTATTGGTGCTCTATTTGATTTTTGTGGGGCTGGTTTCTCTATATCACTGGCCATTTGTCGAGGTTGGTGAATGTAAATTTGAAGTAAATTCATGCAAATGGCATGATGCAATACTCAGTGGTTGTAACGATGAAGGGATGGGCTATATTTGTGGGATTCATTTGTAATATGTTAATACAAATTGTTATCACACGTGTTTTAAAGATTGTTTTAATAATAAAAAATGTAATCTGTAAAAAAGAAAGTGTGTCGTGAATTGTCCTCATGTTTGTCCACTTTTTATTCTGGTTTGTTGTGGGGTTGTTGCGTGGGGAGGATTTCTCTTTTGACATGTCTGAGTAAATTCAATTAATACACAAACAGTACACTTCTGCGTCCCTCTGCTTATACGACTCGAACCAAAAGGAAAAGCTTTAACTTCGTTGAAATCGAGACTATATCGATGCAGTGGCAAAATTGGCCTAAATTAGGCCTGCTACTCCTTGAATTCGCCAGGTACTGCTGAGAAGCTACTGAAATGAAGGGAATTCAGCAGTTAATAGCGCCCTCTGTTGATGCTCCAGGTATATGCGCTGCTAAGCATAAGTGGCAAGCAACGTTTGGCCGCTGTACCGAACAGTTTGGTCAAAAGCAGGCGCAAACTGCTTTTAAATAATTTTTAGAAACCGATAGCTTTCTATAGAAAATATAAGTTTAATGTATGTACAGAAAAGTACATTATATATTCACGATGTTGTCGTTTGCAAGTCCACAGCAGCATGATTTTCTTTCAGGGTGCACCACAACAAATAAATTCCCAAAGACAGCAGTGATAAATCCCCATACTTCACAAATATTTTAAACACACTCACAACTCTTACAGGTGTTCAGGCTGCATAGAAAAATGATGTTCCACGTGTCCCCTTCCATTTTCCTTTCAATTTTCGGGGGGTTGACCAATGAATTTTTGAGAAATTTTCACCAGAAGCAGACCACCCCTAAAATGAAGAAAATGTCCCGGTCCAGAAAAGTAGCCATTTTGAAAAACCATCACTCTGCAAAATGGCTCAAATAGTGCCACTTTCGGACCTAATTGCATCCAAATTGCTCAGAATTGGAAGCCCCGAGTCCGGCTCAGAGGTTCAGTCTCAGATTTTTTCAATTCCCCAGTTCCACGGCTCTCAAGACCCTCTAATGTAGAATATTTTCAGTATATAACTTTTATAAATGAGCTCGGCGGACATATTTCCGGCCTAAATACCTAAGCGGCGCTATACGATCTTTGCTAAATATACGAGGGCCCTTTTCCAATACTCGACTTTGGTCCATCGGAGGCCTCGTTCCCAAAACCAATCCCCGATTGTGGGCCTGAAGCGTTTAAATTAAATTAGATTACTGTAATTTCTGGCTCTCTTGCATCTTATTTGATGTTTTGTGGCACTATTAGACTAATTACTGCGCTTACAGCTTCAAAGTCAGCTAGTTAAAAACAGTTGAAGCCTGAGACGGAGCCGAAGTTGAGTATTGGAAAACGGCCGAGGGTGCACCTTTCAGCTCCCGGTTTACAGACTGGAGCCATCCCATGGGAACAGGGGGAGCTCATTATACAAAAAGGAGGGGCTGGACATCAGTCCGTACTTGCAGCAGACGACACGGCCATCTCCAATGTTTGTAATAGCCAATCAAAATCAAGAGAGGGCGGTACAAAACGTAAACTTCTTGACCACGGGAGTTGTCAAGCATTATTCCAAACAAAATGCACGAAATGTCATTTACTCCTTAATGGACGAGGGCTGTGTTCGTAGATACTTCTGCCTGCTTTATGATTGACATGTCTGCATTGAAGAAAAATGGCAAATACTTGAAATAGGGCCTATGTACAATTCATTTTGCTGGTCGAATGGAAGCTGATATTTTGGAGCATGTAAGCAGAAACCTGTGGTCATTTCTCTTACTGTGTTAGGAGTATGGGCAAATACTTTAGTAACATTATAATTTTTCTGTGTAGGCCCTATTATATAAAGTACAAAGATGAAATGAATTCTTACTACCGAATCATATTGTCAGGTGATAAGTCTCAGGTTTGTCAAGAATGCTGCCATCTGTCAATACCCTTCTCCTTTGAATTTGCGATTGTGGAGGATTGTTTCAAAGAAGGGAAGTAAAGTTGGTGATTTTGCACAGAATTTATCACAATCACAATCGGATGAACATCACATCACACATCACATTCGGATGAACGTTCAGAGTGACTATAAAAGCATTGGCATTGTTTTTGCTTTTATCTCGATGATTCCCACGTCTTTTTTTCAAGACAGTACAACATATCAATTTGAAAAATGGCAGGAACATGAAACATACAAGATGTAGGTACCGGTTTCATGCCGTGATGATGTCATCAGATAATCACATTAAAGTTCAGAAGTGATCTACTTTGTTTAGCTGAATCTCATGAACTAATATACATGTAGCTATCATGTTCTTACTTTGGGATCTGACAGATCTTGAGTAGTTCTACATTGTCTAACCTCTGTGCCCCAGAAATAGAGCTGTGCTGAATATATTCGATCGAGTATCAAATATTTGAATATTATTTTCCGAATTAAAATATTCGAATGCAAAATTCATGAAAATGAAGGGGGAATTTCGCGTTAAATGACAAAAATTGCAATGTGGAAGCTTGTTTCAAGCAGATTCAAATTAAAGCGACAGAAATCTTACAATGATTCAAAAGTCAATTATGCATTAAAAAATGTTAAAGGACAAATCATAGCTGGATATACTTCTAGATGTGAGAAGCTATTATAGTGATTATAATGTACAATTGTATGCATTGTTGCAACTGATTTGTATATGGATTGTTCATCAACAATCTGCTGGTCGGTACAACCGAATATTTGGATATTTGATCAAACTGAAGGTTGAATATTTGAATAGTGAATTATATGAATTGACTCAGCCCTACCAAATATTACACTGAAAGGTAAAAGCAATGTAATTTTTAAATACTGGAATCTGGAAAGAAAATCCAAATCAAAAGATTTAGCCACTATGAGTCATTAGATGAACATGAAACCTTGTGGGATTATAAATCTGAATTTTGGAATGTATACATTTGTGAACACCATGTGTCCTTGTTTTCTTGGGCACAGTTGTAAGATCTGCATGATTGATTATTGATTACATAGAAAATTTATACAAGTTGTGTTCTAAAATCAAAATATTTAAATTATAAATTTAGAAATAAGCGAGGCATCACGTTGCACGTTGATTTTTGCCACTCTTTTGAATGTAACCTTCGGCAACGGTCTGATTTCTAATCATGCTGAACACAATTCAAGGGATGGTGATGCTATCGTAAAAAGAAGAGTGCCCTCTAGAGGCACAAAAAAAGGTTATATTTAAGATTTGAAATTTATAACTATATATTTTCGCTAAGATTTACCATGAACTCTTTGTGTACAAGAACCAATTTCTGTTTCAAACGACAGTATCATCAGACCAGAAGATATGTGGGAAATGATATGTTTCCCCCTCATGAACTCCTTCATTATATACACAGTATAGACAAGGCAGTAAAAATGACAATACCGGCTAGATTTCCCATTGATAAACATCAGAACTATGTGATACCATCAAACCAGAACTTGCATTACTTCATTCGTTCATAGGCAAAGGCATGCATTTTTGGCATCCATCATGTTAGTTTCCTCTCATCTAACACATCCATCGTTCAAAATCACTGCAGATTGTCTTGGCTTATATGGCTTATAACAGCCATGTTATTATTCTTGACATTCATTAGCATGCCAGTTGACAATGCACGACCAGATCACTGGAGCTTGTAAATGACAAATCTTCCTTGTTCTCTGCAGAAATGTATAGTTTGATTGATTGATTCTTGAAAAGTTTGACTTTTGTGAAGCAAACAGCACATCTTTGTGAATTGAAGTTTATCCAAAAGCTTAATTGCTAAACACAGCACAGTTTGAATTGAAACAAGCTTGTGTAGTGTATTCGTTTCCATCAGATTTGGTTTTGAATATCTGATAAATCCAAAACATCAAATATTTCCAATGTTAAAATCAGTCTGTCCCCTTCAGTGGAAATATTAATTGCCTAGAGAGAGATTATTCATGTTCAGAAAATCTGTAAGGCTTTAACCCTGAAGGACGATTTTGGGCGGGGAGGGGGGGATTCCCCCAAGAACTCAGCCATCTCATGCCGGCAAAATGGTAATTCAAAAATTTCTACTGGCTCTTCCCCACAGAAAGAGTGGCAGCTCTTTTTAATTGATGAATAATTGTCAGAAGGGATGTGGATTTGGGAAGCATAATATGAGTCGAAATAACTGAATAGGAACTCCTTCCCCCTCATCTCGTCATGGACAAAAGAAAGTAGCCTTTTCATTAAAAAGGTAACGTACATGGATGAGATGCATGTTTACAACAAGTGAACAGGTACAAAGAAAACATTTTTATGCAATGGTACCTGTTTGCTATTTAATCAGTCGGCAAAACCAACAAGCAACAACAGTAAAGCTGTAATTCTGGTCACAGTTACCTCCACCAACCATAAATTTCTGCCTGTATGCATTGGCAGATCCATGGTAGAGGGACAACAAGGGCCACACTCCCTCCCTCGACAAAAAAAAAAAGAACAACCCTGTTTTTGAAAAAAAATAATGAGAGAAGGGCAACTGTTTCTATTTCATGTTCTTTCCTTCCAAAAGCGTGTGCAAATCCCCCAAAAGCCACGATACCTTGCCTCTCCTCCCCCAAAAAATGATTCAGTCAAACTCAGGGGCAAATTGCATCTAGATAGATGCAGTACAGCAGTTTAGATAGTGGTGCTTCATTGCTGCTTCATAATGCTTTTTCTGCCATAATGCATAGTGATGTTACTTAACTTCCAGTGTGCAAAGCTTAAAACCAATGTATTGCATATGCTCTTGACAGCACACACTGACATGGGTCATGGACTCTCCCTTAGCTAAAATGTGCAGCCAGTAAAAGAAGTGAATTTACTCCAGTTCAGTTAATAAAACTTAGACTTGTTGGCTATGTGATGGTATTGCACTGATCATATTCTCTGCCTGGATTTATGATAGGCCAGATTTTGGCATCATGTACATCTACTGTGCATGGAAAAGTAACCCGCAATAACCCCCATTAAGTAGGTATGCATAGAATTCTAGATAAAAGCATCAGTCTAGTAGTATTCTGCTGAAAAGGTGTCAGGTCAGAATATTTTGCACTTTTGACAAACTGTACTAAAATAAAAATTTGCAGAAAAGCCTCTATTGGTTGTAGATACTGGGATGGTATCGTTTGCTTAGGCATTTCCAAGAAACAATGGGCCTCTGCACTTTAGAGCATGCATGACCAACCAACCACACACACTGCCACTGAAAGGCTCCATCATGATCAGAGATGTGCAGTTAATTCCTAGCTTGTCATGCTGTTTGGAATATTTAGTCCACTTTTTGTGATTTTAACTCTGTTCCATTGAAGTTTTAAAAGGACCAGTAAAAGTATACATGTAAATACACTTTTCTGGTTTATTTATGCTTACTACTTTAATATAAAAAATGAAAGGGAATGCCTATGAAAAAGGAATATAGAGTAATATGCACGTAATAAAGAACACAATTGACAATTACTGCAAGTGGTTGGCAGCAAAAAAGCAAGACAGTAGACCATCACCAGCTGATGGAATGATTCTTTGCAATGAGAAGTAATTTCCAAAGAGAATTACAAATTATGAAGCTGTCCTGTCTTCCACAAACTCTCTTTTGGAAAAGTTTAGGTTCCTCAAAAAGTTGAGAACTTGACCTTTGGGTCTCTTGTGCAATCTCCATTTTCTAAAGTATGGTCAGAACATTTCCCAAATTTAAATGGAAAACCTTGTATATTGGATTGACTTTTTAGAAAGTAAACTCCTGTAATTTAAAAAAAAATGCTTGATGCCTTATTTAATGCATTTACATTTTGTTTTCAGGTCCTTTATTCACCATGAAACTACCAGTGTCAGTCTCAAACAGTAGGCACTATGTGCTGCCTGGTCACCCTGGCTGTTTTGTAGGCTAAAGTGCTACAAAGTACCCATGACTCCAGAGAGTCAGGCTCTCAGCTTGCCCCCACGGCCTGATATTTCATCCTCCCTGGATGACATGCAGAATATAATGCTGTCATCAGCTGGCATTGTTTGTCTTAACAGGTAAGAGGTTCAGTAGCATTACATGTCAACGCAGGATCTAGAGAGCCTGGGCGATGATTGATAATAAGCAGCAGTGTCTAGAGATGGTGTCCCCTTTCTGATACATGGACTAGTTATGAATTCCTTTGTTATGAATTGAGGCCAGAAGTGGAAATGTTACTTTATGATGCTGAGCAAACACTAGTAATGGACTTTTTTTTAATGATTTGTACAGCTGGGTTTTCCAGCTTGTGTCAAAAGTACATGTAGTGCACACTTGCATCATTGTTGCACTTCTTTCTGTGCTTTTGTGGAATTTCTTAGAAAACACTCTTGAAAGACACTAGATCTTATGACACATTTTGGAATACATCCGTGTGTATTTTTTGTATGAAAGGGGGACAGTGAGCATGACTGATGGTTGAGTGTCTGATGTGATAATGTGCCTGATGACACTAATGCTAGGGGCCTGTATATGCACGTGAACTGTACTTCATCCACCCGCATTTTTCTACTGATCTATATGGCTGGAGCACTTACTGTAATAATTCTACTGTGGACTAATCTCCCCCTCCCCCTGCCCACCCCACCATACTGCCTTGATCCTCTTATTCCCCCACCCAAGGGTTCCAGTACATCTGCTCGTTTATTGCATATAATTTATCAGGTTATACTTCATAGGTCCTGACCCTTTACAGGAACTTGAATTTGGGGCATGTGCCCACTAACGCTGCAGAAAGTTGTAAATTTGTGCAGTTTTTACGAGACTGTGTCACTGAAATCGTATATCATTGTGGTATATAGATAGCATGAGCTAATGTAAGGTTAATTGCCAACAATAAAATGCACACTAGTCCCTGCAGAGATTATGATTTATTTTGAGAAAATCTTTGCATTTTATTACTGCATTATATTCTTTTTTCTCTTGTAATTTTTGTGTGGCCAGCCAATACTAAACTTTCTAGGTTGATAAATTGCAATCTGTGTGTCCAAATAGAACATTTATAATGGTTGATTTAACAAGAGAGAATGGAAGATCAATAGATTTAGCCTTAATCCTCAACATCTTATCTGTGAATAGAAAAAAGAGATCTGGTCTTGGCCATGTTCAGTTGCCAGTTTTGAAAACTAGGCAGATATTTCGGTAGCGTTAATTTGTGCTGAAAATTGGGGGAGGGATGGGTGATGACTTGCCTGGTCATAGAAAGTTGAAAAGCAAGGGGGGGTGCTGACACCATATGAGATTGGGGGCAGTGTTTATGAAACAGGTGTACATATGTTATATGTATTACATTCCTGAAGAATGTTACATCAGAATGGCATATTTATTGCCCTTTTTTATTTTTCGTCCTTTTTGAGTGCTAATGAATATACCTTGGTTGTTAGGAAGTCCAAAAAATTTGTCATAGCCCGCCTTAATTTTTTCTCACCACAAAAATATTTATGTGTGTGTGAGTTTGTTTCTGCATGCAATTGGGGACCCTGGACTATAGAGGACAATAAGGTCCCCGATTGACAGAGGGTCCCCGATTGACAACTGTGTACAAAACATATGGGTGGTCTTCTAACAAAGTTAAAGTACGAACAATGGAGGAACAACAGGGGGTCCCCAGTTGCAGGCAAATACACACTTCCATGTGTGTGTGGGGGGGGAGAATGATTCAATAGCCCATCCCCTCCTGGCAAAAAGTGGGAGGGGATATACATTATACATGTACCCCCTCCCTTCCACCCAGGATTTACGCCAGTGCGTGATACCTGGGGGAACAAATTACAAGCTTACTAGAATTGATCTCGACATCAAAGTAAAATTATGACCTCTCTCTGCTGTCTGAAATTTTTGCCCATCCAGTCTAGAATGCATCATACATGTAAAAAGTATGCAGTTGTGTTTGAATTTTTTTCTTAAAATATAATTTCTCTTCTTTCCCAATTAAAATCTTTGAGTACGCAGTGTGTTTGAAGGATGGAAGGTGCAGGTGTTAGAACTTTGCTCTTTGATGCACAAGGGCCTTTTTACTTGGTTCATTAATGGAACTATTAGGAATTTTTTTTTTAACTACATGTATCGGCTACATGATTTTGAAAAATTAGGAGCAACATTGCCAAAAAAAAAAACCGGGGGCAATTAAAAGAAAAGGGTGAGATGACCAGTGCTTAAGCCCCGACAGTGCAGGTGCATACAGCAGCAGTGGAGGCACAGGTAATTTTTATTGCTCTGAAGAAAGTACAAGGGGCCCTCACCTCCTTAGCAGATGTCTGAGTACTCAGCTTTCTTCCGGTAACAAGCTTGTCCAAGGTCACAGGTGAGCACATCACAGACAAGATGCCTGCAATAACGGAGACAGTCTGTTTTGGCACAAAGACCCATCTTTTGTCTCATTCTCATTTCTTTCCCAGGCAGCGCAGGTGACTTGGAAAGTGCATCCTGTCCCACCGCAATCTCAGAAAATTTACAATGGCAAGGTGAGTGAGCGTAACCTGTTGGTAGCATTCTCATGTCTTGATGCCTGTATTATCGGACTTGAATGGGGATAAATCAGGCAGTTACTCACGACGTGTTTATACATGAACAGAATTATGCCGCCGTAAATTTGAGGTTGTCGACGATGTGAAACAGCACGCAAAAGATGAAAATTTCAGATGTCTGCACCATGGATAGTTTAAAACTGAAAGATCATCACAAATAACTTATAACTCAGTGATGAGATTTATCTCCTTGTTGATTTGTACACATCATCCTTTCCTCTGTGGTTGTGTGGTGTGACCATAATTTTTGTAGGCAGCCAATCACATAGAAAGATAACATTTTAGGTTTCCAGATGTATGAATGCAGGGTTGGCCAGTTTAAATCACCTTGATTTAAATCACCTATTTAAATTGCAATTTAAATCAAATTATTTTTTATTTAAATCTATGATTTTTATTTCAATCAATGATTTTTTATTTAAATCAATGAGTTTTTATTTAAATCAATGATTTTTTATTTAAACCAATGATTTTTATTAAAATCATTGATTTAAATAGATGACATAAGTGTAATTTTTTAGGAAAAAGCCAAAAATATTGCAATTTTTAATTTTTTTCAACTGAGTCAGTTCTTAGCATTGATAAGAAGTAGGAATGCTGAATGTGTTACACAAAATCTGGGTTGGTGGAATTCCTTTTCAATTCAAATTTCAAGCCAATCGTTTTGATTTAAGTCAGCTTTTTCGGATCCAATGCGTGAATTACATGTAAAGGATTTACTTTCACTTAATTTGAAATATCCACTTCTGAGTTTAACATGGTAAAGTATCAGTGTGTATCTACCTTTTACATGTTTCTCTACGAGTACACATATATTTTATTTGGATTAGATATGTTGTTCACTGTGCTGTGAAACAAGAAACCAGGAACAAAATGTTCTTAATAAAGTTTTAATCAAGCCTGAGTCACTACTGTAGTAATCATAAAGGAGCTGGATCACAAACAAACTTGTAACAAGACTACATTCACACACATTTAGAGCAAGGTACAGTTAACACCAACATTCTGTGACCACATATAGCATGTAAAATGAATATGTGTATGTCCATGTACATGTGGTTGATGGCATTTTTCCACTCAGGACTTATTAGGAATGAGTTCCTTGTAAACAAATTCCTATGTGAACTCTAGCTAGTTTTGTCAAAATTAAAGTCACTTCAAAACTTGGAACATTGACATGTACTTTACCCTTTATACACCAGTCTCTTGGAAGGAACTCTCTTCTTTGGGAGCACATGAAGGTGCTGCAGGTATACCGCATGCATTTCACCTGGGCTTAGACAATAGTTAAGGGTGTTTATGATTTTAATTAAATGATCTGATTCAAATTTCTTAAATTTAATCCATATTTGTTTATATTTTGTCTCAAAAGAAATCAATAAAATTAACACGCATAAAGCTGAATTTGCTTGCTTTGGAATAGAGAATTACATGTAAGCTGACTTACTTAAAATATTTTCAAAATCCAAAATTTTAAATTCTATATTGGTTGTCTTTTTTTAATAAAATAAATTACCAAGTTAAATATCAATCCGCAGTCTATTGCCCACTTGTTATGATGTCAGGCTCTTAACAAGGATGGAAGTAACAACAACAGTGCACTGATGTCTAATTCCCTGTGCACGGAAGTAGTAAATACCGGTATATTAAATGTATTGTAAACAGTCTGTAAGATAGAAAAAAGTCTGTTTAATAAGTAAATGTTTTAAGAGTCCTTTATTGAATTTTCAGAATATAATGTTTTCCCATTTTCATCATCTTCCCTAATGTTATACATGTACCCATGCCCCTTGTGAATGCCTTTATTTCCACTTCAATAAATTTTCAACAGCGCCCTCTATCAGAGTTTTGCAAGCATTATCAGATAAGGACAATTCTCACCTATGTTCACGCACTGCTGCCGGTGCACCACTGAAGTATTAAACGGGTTTGTATGGGGTCGTGCATGACGGGTGAGCCGCATTCTGGTCTGGTCTCCCACGACTATGGCTTTTGATGGAAGTTTGATCAAAGGGTGCAGAGCCATAGCCAGTGTTCAATACTAGTGGATGTTGTAGTCTCACATGGAGACGCCGCACGGCGTGTTGCCAACATAGCACGCATAGTGTGCAACATAAATTGTTGACAATATTTCTTACAGGAGTTTTTCTGGAGATATCGCTATACCCGACATATACATTTACAAAAGACATTAGTAATGACATACACAATAAAGTGAAAAGGGCTACTTTTTATAAAAGTGGTGTTAATTCATTTTATGCAGCATCATTAATTAATGTCCACAGAAGCCAGTACCGATCCTTGATTTATCATAAAGCAATTTTTATTGATACCATTTAACCCTACTGAATTCTATACTATTCGAGTATCAACTCGACTTCAGGTTATTTAATGACTTGCTGTGACAAAATAAAATCACAGCGTGAACCAAATGTAAGTTCTTGAATCTGGCCTTAAAAAAATGTAGCAAGCTAATGAGCATCAGAATAGCCTTTAGTTCAGCACTTTAAGGATTTCAAATTCTTAAGAAATCTCCGGATGCAAGAATATCATGATTTATTTAACAGGAACAGAGGAAATCAACGAATTTCACTGCTCAAAAAAGACTACTGCCGCATTAGATAACTGAATAACAAAAGAATTACATCAGACATCTCGTTTCCGTCACAAAAGCTGTGCTGGCATTCAGTGTTCAGCCATGAACAATTAGCAAAACTAAGTGGAGGGAGGAAACATACAAAACACACATGCTCTGTGCAGTCTGCTGGAACCCTGTGAAGACTCCCTCAACAAAGCGTTTGTGTCAATATTTTCAAGGTGAAAGTGCCATCAGTGTTTGAAGTACTTTACATTGTAGTGAACTTTTACACGCTGCACAAAACTTATCCCATGCTCCCATCGCACAGGTTTTGTATTAAACACTGAAAACAATAGGGTCATAAGATGTCAAAGTACTAGCTGCGCATGGGCACTATTGCAGATGGCAGGGGTTTGGTTAGCAACCGTATGAATGTTCTGCATTGTAAGCTCAATGGGATTATTTTCACTTACAATAATCATGAATTCCTTGTCAATTTGGCATAATGGTTACCGCAGTTGTACCGTGCCCTGTTGTCGTTTATTGCGCCAATCCACCAAATAGTGCTGGCTCCTCATTTTTCCCATGCCCTCAATATCAGATGTCAAATGCAAATCAGTGTGCCAGCTAGTTCAGTATTCCAACAGTGCATGCCCAGTACAAGGCTAAATGGAAACAGTTACGCATGTACGTCATAGTCTGTCCCATCAGCACAGCCATGCACTGACTCGTGCGCTGTTTTCGTGGAAGACCATGAATGAAATACCCAACTGGCTCATTCGTGTTTATTATTTAGCATGTTTATATATGAACACAGAATTAAGACAGTGGCATTCTTTTAAAAATCCTTGGAACCCTCCCAGGGAGGGGGGGATACGGAGAAGATTTATTTGTGTTTTATTGTCGAACACTGTGTCCTTCGAACAGTGCTGATCAAAGTTGTTAAAACAATTAGATGTCAAGTTGCTGGCTCAATCATGCCAACAAAGTTTTTAAAACTCAGTGTTTCAATACAGGTGCCTGCAGCATGCATGCTCAAAAAGTGAACGCAGGCAGTCAGGCTGTGCAAAATTCATAATATACACGTAGTTGTTCGGTATCCGGCTCCTTGCCAAAATTTTAGGTCTTGGAAATATTCACAGGGTTTTTTATCATTTACCGTTCAAACAAAAATGAACTTCAGCTATAAGCTGCGGCAGAAAAGTCAAATATGTGTCCCATCACATTCCTTGTCTGAGTATAAACACATAGTATGTACCGGTATGTGAACAATCATCCTCAACTGCGCCTCCTACATTGCACGTTGCTGTGATTTAATTGGGATGAAGTGTTTCTTTAGAATTGTGGAAGTTCTATATTTCACAGCTTCCTCAATGACTCCTGTAAAGTTGAATTATTCAAGCTATAAAAGTTTGTTCAGGTTGAGCTAATGTTCACCCCAAGTGCCATATTTTATTGATCTTTATGTCACTAGCCCATTTATACGTGTGGGGTAACCCAAAAAATGTCAAGAGTAACTCTTCCATTGGCCTAGCCAAGACCTTTTTTATTTTGCTTGTTGTTCTGGTCATCTTTCATTATCTAGTAAAAATGTCTAAGGTTTATGCCCCCATAGGGAACTGACCTAGCTTCCCTAACCCAGAAATATCTTGCTGCTTTTTATGACTGTTTAATGAGGTGGCTGCATTTTACCACAGACTGATCTGTGAACCTATAAGGAATATTGGCCTAGAATTGTTTAACACGCTTTGAGACCAACTAATGTAGAACACAGCGAATACATGTTTGGATTGCATCTATAACAAAGGCTACTTAAGTGCGATCCCATACTGAGCAGATACCTGTGACAGAGTGTTTATGATATTTGAGGTACTTCCATCCAAAAATAGCAGCAAGACCTTTATTGGTGTCAACTTTATTCATCCTAGCCAAATTGTGGTCTGTGTTTTGGGCGATGACCCATTTGTAAAGCTGCAATAGGCAGCCCCCTGCAATCACTCATGAATCAAACTTAAGGTACTGTAGAAACTGCATAATCCAGACTTTCGTGAAGTTAGCATAGGCACCAATCACTTTTAAAAAGTAGGGAGAAGGGGCATAACCTTGATTAGAGCAAATGTGAGCATAAAGCCCTAACAGCGTGGGAAGTTTTGGATTCTTGATGCTTTGTGGTTCCAACTGAGGCAGTTTCTGACCACTCTATTTTTAGAAAATGCTTTTGCAAGATTTAGTTCATTTTTCAAATAATTTTTATCTGAAGTATGTGAATCAAATGTAAGCCTACTCCCCTCTTGCAGTGTTTATTTAGCGTCCGAAAAAAAGGGGACAAATGGTATGATATCCCCTCACTTCAAGAAGT